CTACGTTTCTGTGTGCTCTCCACCCCCACTTCCTTCCCTACCCCTCCCTCCTCCTACCACTTTTCAGGTTTTTGCCTGCAGTGAGCACTGTCCTCACTGGGGAGGCCTCTCAGGAATTAAGTGAGCACCACATGGGCTCAGAAACAAGGCCTGAGCCCCACTGTGGAAGGAGAGGCCTGACTCCTGAGCACACACAAGCACACATATACACACACATGCACCTACACACATACACAGACGAGCACGTACACACACACACACACACACACACACACACACACACACACATACACACACAAGTGCACGCGCGCGCATGAGCATGAAGGAATGAGACAGTGTTTGGGCTATTTTCCTAGTGAGGCTGCTTTCCTAGTCTGCATCACGGCTGCTCCTGGGGACCTTCAGGACTTTTCTCACTGTTCCTGCTGTACCCTTCTTGCCCTCAGTGTTGGTGGCTTCGGTGTGACAATGGAAAGCAGTAAGTCCCTGTCTAACCCACATCCTGGTTCAATTACCTGTGTAGTTTGTGTCCATTTGTCATGAGCTGTTGAGGTGACAATGACACATTTGACATGAGAGCTGTCATCAGGTGTGTGTTGCTTCTGAGTTAATTAATCTTCCAGAAATGATCACAACTATCTTTCCAGCTCCCATATTCTTCTGATGTCAGCTGAGAGAACCAGCTCACCTGACACCTTCTAGCCCAGCACATGAGAGCTTTGAAAACATTTGTTTTCCCTTTGGCTGGTGAAGGTTTCCTAGCATCCCGAGGTCTGAAGAGGTCATACGGAAGAATGCCACACACGGTCATACACAGAGCAGTGTGTGCGAGTGCGCACATGTCTGCCTGTTCTGGAACACCGGGAGCCTGGGAGTTGACTGTGGGTGTCTGTCTCTGTTTCTTCTGACTTTATTCTTTGAGGCAAGGTCTGTTATGGAACCCAGAACGTGCTGGTCGTCAGTAATCTTCTAGAGCTTCCCGCCTCTGCCTTATTCGACCCAGCTGCACCTGGGGAGAGGGAATCTCGGCTGACAAATTGCCTAGAACAGACTGACCTGTGGGCATGTGTGTGAGGCATTTTCTTAATTGCTAATGATGTAGATAGGCCCAGCCCACTGTGGGCGGTGCCATCCCTGGGCAAGTATGCTGTTGGATAAGTGAGCTAGTGGAGCAAGTCAGAGGAAGCAAGCCAGTAAGGGGTGTTCCTCCACAATCTGCTTCAAGCTCCTGCCTGCCTGAGTTTCCTCAATGACCGTGCACGGTAAGCTAAAACAAGTGCGCTCCCCTACCCCCCACCCCATGAGTGTTTGATTGTGGTATTTATCACAGCAGCAGAAAGCAAACTGGGACAGCCTTGCTGTGGGTTACAGGTGAGCACTGCTGCTGTGGTCCCTGCTTTGGTGTGGGTGCTGGGCACTGAACTCGGGTGGGTGCTCATGCTCGCCCAGCAAGCTCTTGCCCTACTGAGCTGTCTTCCTAATCCAGCCTAGTGAAGAAAAAGCTCTACTTGGTACATCCGGAGATCAATATTCTTTTCAGTATTTTCCAAGTATGCCCAGGTCGTCTCCATCACGGCAGGCTTATCGGTTAGCTTTTCAAAACTGCCCGGCTCTGAGGTACTTAATTCCAGCTGTATCCAGGAACAGCATATGCCAGAACTTCCTGCCTTTGGGTAAAGAGGGTGGGAGAGAGGCCCAGGGCTGCTGTGTCTTCACGCACTGCAATGGCTCTTAAAGAGGGGACCTGGAAGGCATGGCCCTGTGCATGTCATAGTGGCACCAGGCCACAGTTTGCCCCTGGCATGGAAGGAACATTACCATCCTCATTAGAGCAGCTGTGGCATCTTGACATTCTCTCACAGGAGGGGAGGGCATTAGAGCCCTCCCAGCTGTATGCAATTCTGCCTCAGTTGCACGTGGTCATATGGTCTGAAGAGGCCATGGTTCTAGAGCCATGGTTCTCAACCTGGGTGTTGAGTGACCCTTCCACAGGGTCACTTATTGGATATTTGCATTACGATTCCCTACGGTAGCAAAATTAGTTATGAAGTAGCAATGAAAAGAATTTTATGGTTGGTGATCAGCATTAGGAAGGTTGAGAACCACTGCTCTGGGGTGTGGAGAGGATGAAGGTGACTGAATGGCGGCGGGGAGACTCCATCTGTGCAGCTGTGGGAACATGTCATCCATGCTGGCAGCTGAGCTGCTTCCTGTCACCCTTAGCCCTGCCCTGTGAGTAAACCCAACAAACAGAGTGGCTGGCCAAGCTGGACATTGATGGAGTGGTTGCTTTGGTCTGCGGTTGGTGCCCTTTTATGGTAGAACCTTCTAGATAATCACATATGGCGCATGAGTATAGACATTAACTTTGTATAAGTGTCTCCCCCGCATAAGTGGCTGCTGTCTGGCCACAGTAGCAGGGGCTCTTACACTATCTTGGGTTTTCACAGGCTCCACCAAAGGAGGATTAGCCAAATGCTAATTGCTGCCTTCTACCTTGCTGGGGAGGAAGCCTGTCCCCACACCAGCTGCCTCTCCAGGGCTTGCAGCCAGGGCTGGGGAGCCTGTGGGGACCCCATTGAATTGGGCCAGAACTGACAGGGAAACAAGTGGGCAGATCCCTGACGGATGTTGACCTACTGTGCACCGTGTTTCCGGTGTCCTTTCCCAAGGTTCTTGTGTGAAGAGCCCAGGACAGGGACTTGTCTGTGCATGCCTAGTCTGTTCTCAAGGCCTGACCTTGCTGGCTGGTAGCAGTGCAGTGACTGACAGACAGGACTGCCCCCGCCTGTGCACAGCCTCTTGACACGAGAATGCTGATTTGCTGAACATTCTTGTGAGGACTTGTTCTGTCTCCGCACTGACTCTGCGGGCTGTACACACTGAGGAGGGCAGGCCTGCCCTTGTCCTGGCGGCAAGCCCTTTCCCCACCGAACCATCTCTGCAGCCCTGACAGGGCTATTCCCTGCCCTTACTCTCCCAGCTGGTGGCCTGGCCCTGGCTGGAGTCTGTGTGTGTTCTCTGCCCCGCTGTGGAGACCCTGTTTCGCTGTGCATGCTCCCTGCGGCCATCTGGAGATGCTCCAGGTCCTGGGCCATGGCCACCTGCAGCGCTCTGTGTCACTGCTTCTTGCTTTCCTGGTGGTGGTGGCCCTGACCAAGCAGCCTAAGGAAGGATTTATTTTGACTCCACGTTGGAAGGTTATTTCACCATCAGATAACCATTACTAACTCCGAAGAAGAGAAAAATCAATGTTAAATCCTGAGAATGTACGGGAAGTGAGTGGTGGCCTCAGCCTGTCCCCTCAGGAGTGTCCAGGACCTGGTTGTCTGGGTGTCTGGTGCCACAGCTGCTGTTAGGCCTTCCTGTGGCGCCTTCAGATAGTTGCCCGTAAAGGATCAACGCACACAGCCCATGCTTGCCATGGTCACCAGATAGTTGATTTCTTTCTTAAAGTCAAAGACGTTAAATCGGGATGTTAAGGAACTTATTTTGGCTTATGACTCTAGTGGACCATGTCTAGAGGTGGGGTCCACTGCGCGTGTTTGCCCGCTGTCTCTCATGAAGGGTTTTGTTTTTGGGGGGTGTTCTCGTGCATGCACCACAGTGAAGGTGCAGATAGATAGCTTGCAGGGGTCCGTTCTCTCCTCCTGTTCCTGGAGTGAACTCAGGGTGTCTGGCTGGGTGGCACGTGCCTTTCCCTGCAGAGCCATCTCACCTCCGCCCCTCCTCTTCTAAAAACAAAACAAAACACATTTCTTCCCAAATTTTTAGTCTGGCATCAAATTAATAGTCATTTTAGAAGTTATGTCTCATTTGGAAATTTGTGAATCTATTTCAGCCAGATTATTATAAAAAGCTTCTGTTGCGCCCTTTACGATGAACTTTAAACAGCCTCGCTTGTGGGTGATCTGAAGAGAGCTGAAGTTTTGAACTTTTGCTTTTGAAGAACTTTGGTTTCCTGGATTCTCGGGTTTTGTTTACAACAGAAACCTTCACTCTTTGATTTCTCCTCCTCCCCACTGAGGCAAAAGGGAGGAGGAGGAGGAGGAAGAGGAGGAGGAGGAGGAGGAGGAGGAGGAGGGAGAGGAGGAGGAGGAGGAGGAGGAGCAGTGTAGGCTTGGGGAGCCCAGCCACCTGTGACAGGGATTGTCTCCTGGGATTTTCTTCCATGATCACATATTTATGAGTAAAGCGTGCATACACATAAAATAAATCTTTAAAAAATTAGAATATTTCTTTTAAATTAAGTATGTGTATGTATGTGTGTGTGGTGTGTGCACATGTATGTATCTGTGTGTGTGTGCACATGTATGTGTGTGTATCTCTGTGTGGGGTGTGTGCACATGTAAGTGTGTGGTGTGTGCACTTGTATGTGTATCTCTGTGTGGGGTGTGTGCACATGTATGTGTGTGTGTGTTGTGAACATGTAAGTGTGGGTGTGTGCACTTGTATGTGTATCTCTGTGTGGGGTGTGTGCACATGTATGTATGTGTGTGTTGTGGACATGTATGTGTATGTATGTGTGTATGGTATGTGCACATGTATGTATCTGTGTGGGGTGTGTGCACATGTATGTGTGTGTGTGTGTGTGGTGGACATGTATGTATCTGTGTGGGGTGTGTGCACATGTATGTGTGTGTGTGTGTGTTGTGCACATGTATGTGTATGTATGTGTGTGTGTTGTGCACATGTGAGCGCAGGTACCTGTGGAGTCCAGAGAAAGGTGTCAGATCTGGAGATGGACTTAGCGTTGTGAGCCATCCTTGGGTGCTAACCATGGAGCCACCTTTCCAAATATATGAAAAATGTGCGTATATACTATGTATAGTGTTTATATAAGCACATTTTAAACTGATAGCAATGTTTCATGTTTGTGTATTTAATTTTTTCCCATGAGTTTAAGAATCAGATGTGTTTTAGGGAAAAATGTTAAGTACCCAAGTTTCATTTCAGAGTTATTTTGAAACCCCATTTATGGAACACTTCTTCTTTTTCAGAGTCACATTAAGTCAGTGGACTTGGGAGAAACGAACATAGATGGAGCCATAGGTGAGCAGACACATTTGATGCGTGTGAGTGGGGAAGGGCACGGGTGGACGCCTGCACTAACGACCTCCGTGATCTTAGGGATGGCGGCCTCGGAGGAGTTCATCAAGATCACCCTGTCAGCATTCGAGGCTGTGATACAATACCCCGTTCTGCTGGCCGACTACCGCTCCACGGTCAGTTTCTAGGCAAGCCCTCCGTCATTTACTTGATAATCCTGTGTGCATGTGTGCCATGTTGGCAGGTGTCTGTGCCATGGAGAAACCGTTCAGAAAAGCAGGGGGGATCTCTGGAAATCGGGTGCCAAATTTGTTGGCTGGGTGGGGTAGGTTTCTCTGGCTCTTCCCATGACCTCCCACCCTCCACCTGCTGGGGAGGTTTTGCAGGCACTGGGGATGTGACTCTGTAGCGCTGCCATTTCTGGCTCTCCTGGCTCCTCCTGTGCTCCAGGTCCTGCCCATGCTCTCCTCTGTAATAGGAAGACAACTTGTGGACATTTTGCTTGGTTTTTCTCTCCACATCTACACTGCTGTTACAGTTTCCTGATCCCTGCACACAGGGCTCCACTTGGTGACGTGTTTGTTTGCATCTGTTTCACAGTGGCTAATGCCACCATCTCTGTGGTGTCAGTCACACTGTGCTCCTGGCTTGGTCGTCCTGTGTCTGTGAGATCACTGCCTTGTTGGCACCATGCTTGCCCTTCCCCTCAAAGCCTTGTGTGTGTACACCTCCCTCCTCAGATGCCTCATGCTAACCTCTGCCAAGAGCCTGCTGTCCTCACGGAGACCCTGTCAAGCCACAGGCTTCTCTGTTTCCCGGGAGCCATGTGTGGCCAAGGCTTGGTGGAAGAGCTAGTTTTCCTGCACAGGACCTACCAGGTGTCTCACCCAATGCTGGACTGGGAGGAGCCAGTGTTGGTTTGTGGGTGAGCGCCTCCGTCACTTCCACTGCAGACTTCCATCAGGAAGTAGGTCTCAAAGCTCCCCCACTGTCTCTTCAGGCTTTAATAATGTTAGGACTTGGGTTTTTTTGTTTTTTGTTTTTTTTTTTGTATCTCATCACATTTTTCAGTGATAGAGTTGGGCCCACATTCCCGCGCACACCTAACGTAACAGGAAAGAGAGGGTCGCAGCACTTCCCTGGTGAGTCCCAGGCCTTTGATTGAGATGTCACTTATGGATCCTGTTGCTTAATGAACAATAACCTCATGGCTAATTTGTTCAGGTCTAGTGTTTATGAGTATCTGTATTGCATTTAAATAGGAATTCAGTTAGTGTGTTTTCTGATCATGAAACACTAGTGTGTTAATTATTGCCACTGCAGCCTCAATTGTGATAGAAAAGGCACCCTCACAGCTTACCCCTTTATAAAACATGTTCTCTAATGCTGCAGCTCATGGGAAATCTTCTAATTATCTCTTCTTGCGCATGACTGGAATGCGTGAGGAAAAAGACCTGTGCCCCAGGGGCCTCTCTGATTGTTTTAGATTTCAGCACATACCTTGTACAAGGCTCCTGGTCAATACCTGCTCACAGGGAAGCAGCTGACTGTGTTTAACTCTTGCTGAGCCTGGAGCTGGTCCAGGAGCGTCTCTGGGGGTGTCTGAGCCGCTTAGCCTAGAGCCTGCCCAAGGGAGGGATCACTTAGGACAAGTCAACACCAGATGGCCTTGATTGCCACCGGGGAACTGTCTGGATCAGGTTTCCCTGTGGCCGGGTCTATGGGCGTGTCTTGATTGTGGAAACTGTTGGGGGTGGGGGAGAGCAACTCTCTGTGGGGAGCACCACTCCTGGGTCTGTGTCCTGGACTGTATGAAAGAGGGTGAGCTAGCCCAAAACAGTATCAGGTAGCTGAAGGAAATGGCGCCCCTGGCCTCACAGATGCAGTCCAGAAGTTCGCACCCGAGCAGAATGAGGTGCCCCTCCTGACTGACACTGATGAGACTTTAGGCCAGGGTTAAGTGTAACCAGTGGCTTCTAACTTCTCTCCTACCCCTCCTCTGTGACCTCATAACTTGAGCAAGTCTGGAGTTCCTTTTGTCTGTAGTAAAGTTTTTTGTGAACCTGCTCTTTAAAGGAAGGCTGGGGAATGTCGTGAGTTGAGGCAAGCTTGCTTTCTTCTGCCCCTATCCAGCCTGGGCTTGTAGGGGGCTGGTGTGTGTGTGTGTGTGTGTGTGTGTGTGTGTGTGTGTGTGTGTGTGTGTGTGTGTGAATGTGAGTGTGTGCGTGTGCGTGTGCGTGTGCGTATGTGTGTGCGTGTGTGAATGTGTGTGTATGTGTGTAAATGTGTGTGTGTGAGTGTGTGTATTTGTATGCACTCGCACACATACTACTAAGAAAAATAGAGAGCAGGGGCAAGGTTTGCAGGACACAGTGTGGATAGGGGACCCTCAGGGTGTGACAGCCTTAGGCAGTCTGATGATTTGTGTCTGATTGTGTAAGAATGCATTTCTTCTTTTTTGGGGGGCGGGGGAGGAGGGTTTGAGACAGGGTTTCTGAAAGGTTCAGGCATTATGCTGGCCTGCCCCTGTTACCTGGTGGAATCCACTCAGGCAATACCCTGGTCAGCCCAAGGTTCCATGGGAAAGAAGTCTGCATGCAGTTGCAGAGGACACCTTTAAAAGATAGGCCCCTGCCCTCTCTCTCTCTCTCTCCCCCTGTTCCTGCTCTCTGTCCCCTCTCTCTGTTTCCCCGCTCTGTCTCTCTATGGCGACCGGCCATGGCGGTCCGCCATTACCCTGTTCCTCCCCTTAGTCTCCCCATTCTCCCCGGCCTTTATAATAAACTTATAGTCAATATGTCTGTCTCAATATTTCTCTTTTCTTCTTTTTAAACAAAACAGTAACATTTTGGCGCCCTCATATCCCTGTGTGGGACAGTGCCGGGAGTCCAGCTAGTCCTGCACAGTGGTTTTTCTGGCACTGGACATTGATGCTTTTCAGAATTTCATTTTCAGCGTGTTGCTTTAAACAGGCAAGCTACAGTGCATGCAGTTTTAAGGAAAACCATTCGTACTGAAATATCAACTGATAACACATTTGCCCGGTGCTGGGCCCACACTGAGCTCCTCTATGTCTGAATGACCTGCTGTGGCCTCAGCACCCTGCGCTGCTGCCTGACTTCCCTCAGCACTCCTCCAGCCACTGGGGAGTAGAGGGCAGGGTGAAAGCATGAGCTCCGGGGTCCTGGGGAAAGGCCAGCCTGCCTTCTGAATTTAGATTTTCACCTTGTCTGGTACCTTCTAGGTAGTGTTATTCTTTTGTTTAAAAAAAAGAAAAGAGAAATGCTGAGACATGAGACATAAGACTATAAGTTTATTATAAGGCCTGGCAGAATGGGGAGACTAAGAAGAGTAAAGGAACAGGGTAATGGCTGACCGCCAGGGCCGGTCGCCATAGACAGGCAGAGAGAGCATAGGTGGGAGACAGAGTAGAGAGAAAGCCGAGACAAAGCAGAGCGGGGAAACGGAGGAAACAGAGAGGGAACAGAGAGAACAGAGAGCGTAAAGGGGCAGGGACTTATCTTTTAAAGGGGTCCTCTGTACCTGCGTGCAGACTTAGTTCCCATGGAACCTTGGGCTGACCAGGGTACTGCCTGTTCCACCAGGTAACAGGGGCAGGCCAGCATAATGCCTGAACCTTTCA